CAAAGTAATGTGCATGATATACAACATAAATTATTATTTAAAATCAAGTTACAATAATACAAAAACTGTGTTTTCAATGCTGCTGCTCTTTCTGGAAAGGTGATTAGTAAAACAAACAATCGGAATTAAGCTGTGTGTCAGAATTACCCTTAAACTAAACAGGTGTCAAGTGGACTGAAATAGTAAAGAAGAACAACATGGATTTGAACTTAACTTGTGACATTTAGTAGACAAATTATTACTCACTTGGCTCGTCTCTCCTCCAGTTTCTGAGGTTTGGTTCTCTGAGCCTTGTCGCCCATTTTTGTACCGTCAAGCTTCCCCACCAGCGACAGCACCTCTCCAGTGGGTTCATCTCGTCGTGTACGGTCAATTAAAGAGCGATCAGCTTGTAGCACAAGATTTGAGTTCTACAAAAAATAAAATGAATTAAAAACTTGCCAACAAGCTTGTTCAGCATTGCCTTCCTAAACTGCCTCGTGTCCAAATATGAATGAGGTTGAGAACATAAACTGCTGAGGTTTACTGACCAGGCATTACACTGCATCTTTCTGTGAGCTTCCATAATGAGTATATCAACATAACCCATACAGAAAGCAAGATTGGCTCATACTCGTGTGGCAAAACAGTATTATTCTGGGACTTTAGAACTCTTCCAATCCATTTTTCTTCAATAAGGATTATAATAGGTTACGTTTTGAAATAAATAAATGAACAAAATATTCAAAATGAGCTATGCTTTCAAACGTTTGTCAACTAATGAAAATACATAAAAAAGAAAAATACAACAATGATGAATTAGCGTCTATCAGCCTGTACTAACTGAAAGACGGTTAAAACAACGAAAGTTACGTTTACCTACTATAGCTAGCTTTCTAATGTTGTACGTTTTTTTACACCTTCCGAGTTAAGTAGGCCAAGCTACTTGGCTAGCAAGCGGTTAAACTGGCTTTAGCCGTAACAAAAATATGGCATAATACCCAACCGAAACACCTATTGAAAAAACAGTGTGTCTTCGACATAAATTTGTAATCGTGTTAGGTAACGTTTTGAAGTTTTAAGACCGTATTATATGCTCACCGCTTTATATTCATACTGCAGACTCCGAGCAGTAACGTCCGCCATGTTGCCGCTGGTTTCAACTTTAAGCTTCCTTTATCTTTTAGAATTCCACCGGTAACAGTTGCGGAATTTTCGGCAAATAGTGTGACTATAAGAACAAATTAAACATTACAGTAGAACTAAAATCTCTCTGTTAAACCCCCTCTTGGTTTAGTCAGAAGTTCAAACACATATAACATGCGTTCCCCAAACGTTGCGTTACAATGGCCTAGCAAACGACAAATCGCTACCGCCGAAGACCAACTTCCGCTTCCGGGGTCAATGTAGTTAAAGTTACCCGGAGCCGAAGTACCCTCCAAATTTACGTCATTTCCAAGCATTTAATGTTATATAGAGTGGGTGGCACATAATTAACAAGCATTTTTATTTAGAATTCGTCTGTAATTTAGTTTAATCTGCATGTTATGTTTTTTTGTAAAATAAATAAATAAAAAGAAATCACTTCCATCCTTCGTCTTTTCACTGCTTTTTAGGTACAGGGCCATCGGTTTAGTTTTTAGTTTTGTCATCGGAAACAGAGATCAAACTAAACTGTAAAAGCACACTAATGCACCAAGAACAGTGACTAGGGATGAACATGGCCAGTACTCCATTTAACACTTATTCTACGTCATCTTTAGTTTCATTTATTTTATACGTTGTAATGAGAGTGTTATTACTTGAATACTTTTTATTTAATGTAGTCCCTTATTTTCCATTTTTCATAAAAAGGAGATAAGGCACTGCAAGCATTTTCCTGCGTGTTGTCCTCACATGCACACACTGCATGAAACCTATTTTCAATTGATGCCACTAGATGGCGACAGACACAATTACCTTTGCTGGTGTATAGCCTGTCTAGAGCAGAGAAAAAGGACCTTTTATATTAAAAAATAGCTTCTCAATTACCTCAGTCTTTGTGATTTACACATGCCAAGGGCTGATAAATTAACATTGTCCACAGAGTTTTTAATGAGTGGACAGATTTTTTTTCATTGAGGATTGTTTAAATACTATAATGTGTTAAAGATCATTTCAAATGTATGTGTTTATGTTTTACAAAGCATAGCTTACTTCCAAACATCTGATATACGGACAGAAGTTGCTGATGTGCAGCATTACAAACATAACAAGCAAACCAAGTCAAACACAAGAAATATGCCCTGTCATCCTATTGTTCTATGCTCTGTTACTATAGTCCATGATTGGCAGTGAGCTGTTACAGCCTAGTTTGTTCACATACTGTAGGTGTTGCTGCTGTCCATGTGTGCCAGGGCAGTGTGGAGAGATATAACAATGGCAAACTTTGTGCCCTGTATACAAACTGGGGTAGATCTAAGTATGTGGGAATGGCAGTCTTGATATGATTTGGCCTTTGAGCAATAAATTATAACCTTCCTAACTTGACTTTTTAGTCTAGACCTGGCAGTGTTCATACTTTTTTGACTTGGTGACCTTCCTAAATTGAAAAAAAGGTGTTATTCAAATAAACTGAACATACTTTTATATACATTATTATGTTGGTATACCGATTACATGCATGTAGATGTATGGCACAATATGATTTCATTCGTACAGTATATGGTCACTACTATACACCAATAAATTGTATTAATTTATTTTTTATTAAATCACCACACACCAAGGTATTGTAATGTCTCTCTGTACATGTTTATTTACACAGTACTATTCTGTTTAATGCTGGGTGGCAAGATTATCTGTAATACATAAATATTGACTGTTTTTTTTTTTCTCTTTTTTGTACAAATTTGCATATAACTAAGAATCAGAAAGAAAACCTCAAACCGATACATAGTTTACCTTTTCAATGAAGAACACTCACATCCTTACAGAGATTAAATAAAATAAAAAGAGGCGTTAAACACGTCACATACATACTAATAGGTTTTCCTGTGTCAGGCAGCAGCCATTAAACACACATCTGCACAGGGACATGCACCCAAACACACTAGCTAACATCCTTTTAACGGAGCTCTGTTGCTGACACACGGAACAATAGCTGACCAGATGACAAACTCTCCAGAGAAGTCTTCAGACAGATGAGTGTTGTGAATGCAAATCCTTAAATTCAGTCCATAGTCTGTCTGCATTTACACATTAAAAGGTTCAAATTTAACTGGACTAGTTTTGGTGCTTGCTAAGCAAATCTGAAAAGTGTGTTCTCATCTGTTTATGTAGACTCTCATCAAGACCAATCCTGTGGACCTGCCCTGAAGGCTTCTGTAGTCATTTTGCCATCTGGTTTTTGGACAGATGAGAATTTTAAATCTACATTTTTGTAAGTCTAGCTCTGGCATGCTTCTGTGTTTCTGTAAACATGTGCTGATAAACCGGGGTTTCTCCACAGACAGTATTTAATAATAATGATAAAAAAAGATTCACATACTCCACTGATGTGCTGAGTTCATGCTCTGACATCAGTTTAACATCAATGAAAAAAAGGTAACAATTGTCACTCAGCAAATAAAACAATCTGAAAGCCTATGATAAGTGATGATGAGGCTTCTCTTACAACATCTAAAATGACTGACCAGGCCTGTCAGGAAGGCTGCTGTTCCTCCTCTCAGGCTGTGTATGGTTCACACAGCTCTGGGCTTCAAACAAAGCATGTTATCATCACCAGGAATGAGGGGCCGTACCAGGAAGTGTGAATTTCTGCCGCGTGAACCAGGAACCATACGAAGAAACCAGAAGATTTTCATTTTAGAAGTAATCCCTGCCTTTACCATTAAAAAATCTGCCTTTATGATGGATTACAGAACTTGAAATAGTTTTGCGAAACCTTATCTTCTCACTTTTTTTCCAAGGTAGACTCCTGACTGACGGACCATTAGTCATAATCAAAGAAGTCCAGGTACTTTTGTGCAGCATTTGTGCAATATCTGATGGAATGAACTTGGTGTACATTTTGTCACACACCTGAGGATTAATCTGCACAAACTTGACCTAACTTTGGTGGACACATGTAGCAACTGTGATTGATGACTCAAGTTCCTTGATGTTTTGATAATATGTGATAGAAAACAGATTGCTATCAAGGTTGATGGGGGAGCAACCTTTAGCCTGTTATATAAAATAGGACTAGAAGTTTTTAGTAACATAGATTATTCTGACCAGTGGTATGATATGCACAGCCATGATATTAAACAGCCTCTTCCAATCACTCTTCCAATAAGACTCCCTTCATCCTTTCTGTCCTTCCTTGTACAGGATCATGTATTATTTGTATTTAACTGTGGGACAGGGCAGTCTGCAGCTGAACATTATCTTGTTTTTCTTTTAAATTATCTTGATTTTCTTTTTTGATTATGACAAATATGATGAGTTGGCCCTTATTTGCACATTCACACGTTCTTTGTACAAGCGATTGTACAGATTGAGACCTACTCATATAATATCAAAGAAACAGTCTGCATGGTCACCAATGTTGGAAACAGTTTCATTTGCTGCAGATTCAAAGGTGGGAAAGATGAATCTGTATTGATTGTAGAAGGTAGAGATGATCATCTGTTGCTAAAGTCAAACCCAAGAAAACATAGTAGGAGGACAAAAAAGTTAAACACAGCAGCTATGAGGTAGGTAAAGACTGAAAAGACAAAAGCAACCAAACACCCTGTGCACAGTGCGAGTTCAGAACCAGTGTCTGTACATGAAGACAGAATAGTTCAAGAGACAGTGTGTGTGCATACGGTGACTGTGTGAGTTACTGTGAAAGTGTTACTTAGTGACCAAGGAGAAATCCTGGAAAAGCTAATTTACAAGGATGTCTGACACATGGCAGGGTCTACATTTTGGCACAAAATGGAGCCTGGTTTAAGTGAGAGGAGCACAGCGAACCTGGACAGGTGGTCAGGGTTTCTTCTGATAACACACATTAAAAAAAAGACTCAACAGTTGCAAAAACGTAATCACAACACAGAAGTAGGATTAAATCAACTAATGTTAATCAAAATAAAAAGAAAAGTGATCATTCATGCATATCAGACAGAATCATTTTTTCACCCTGCCCCACTATTTTCTTGAGGTTGTGTAATATTGTGTATCTAGTCCTTTTGATCATCGCTTAGCCAAGTGTGCTAGTGCTCATTCGAAAAGGTTCACACTCATTTTCAGTCTTATCGCAAAGGTGTTTGCCATTGTTGCCATATCAATCCTAATGTCAGATTTATATTCTCTGGATCTTGTCGGCCACCACCACAGGGTTCTCTTTGCGGATCTTGGCAGCAGCTTCGGCCTTGTAGTCATAAGGACAGTTGTGCTTGTCGGAGTACCGATGGATGCCACAGAAGAGGTTACCACAGCGGCAGTCAAATCCTGCAACCACAAAAAGCAGCATTAGACTGAGGTTCTCACAGGAGGAATAAAATTAAGCAGATAGCATCAGGTTCTGAAGCTAAGTTGTATGAGATCTTATACTGATGGACACATGGTTGGAAAAGACAATAAAGTAAAATAGAAAATATACTCTGAAAAATTTTTATATTTGCCCATAGTATTTTTTTTAATTATCCATTTACAATGATCAGCAGACAAATGATCAAAACGGCCCCAAAGATACACACAATGTGAGATCAGTTCCATTTAAACCTTTAACAGCCCTTCTTTGCATATTGTCCATCAGCTCATTATCAGGGGACAGGAAGTGACAAGATGTTCTTAAATACTGCCTCCTGGAACATGAAGCTGTCCTGCTCATTTGTGTGTGTGTGTGTGTGTGTGTGTGAACTGAATACAGATGAGTCAACACCTACTTTCTCAAGCTTATCAGGCCAAAATGTTGAAAACACATGATAGCTAAATCTCAGTGTCAGTTTGCCTACACATAAAATTGTTGATAACGTGTCAAAACTTCAAAATGTGACCTTATCTTAAAATAACCTGAAGTACCCATGTCCATTGACTCATTATCATCAGATGCCCCCCGTGTCATCTGTGATTTCTTACCTGTAAGTCCCACTCTTTTGCGGCACATGAAGCACCTATTTTTCTTGGTTTTGGAGGCGTCATTCTTGCTTTCTTCACTGGTCAAGGAGACTATTGGACTTGGACTAGAACCAGCGGCAACAGGCTGGCTAACAACTGCAGACCAACACATCAAAAACACATGAATCAAGTGACATGAGGAGCAGCAGACGTTTGTAGTTCTTTTATAATGTCAGTGAAATTGCATATTTTTAACCCAGACAAAAGTACTTTGACAATATTATCTTTGAGCCATGCTTCTCTTGTTCTTGGCAGAAGCTCGTACGTGATTCTGAGAAAGCCTCTGGCAGGTTGCAGCTACTCTGGGCTATTTTTAAACATGGATATATTTAGGCAGCAGCGCCTTCTTTAAGGGAGTAAAGTAAAACCAACAGTGAGGCTGAGGTTTAAAACCAGGAATTAAAAATAAAGAGTGGCTGAAGTTGTTACTGAAAGGACTGTGGGGTAGAAATCACCTGAACCAGAATCACATGGTTTCTTCAACCTATTTTACAACTAGCATTTTGAAGAAAATGTCTCATTAAAGGCAGGAGGGCGACAGGGGCTGAATGTGGATATACAGTATGACTCCTATAGCTAACTCCAACGGTGGTTGATGGGACCAGATTAGAAAAACATTTGCAGTGCCGACCTGATGTTTGTGGGTGATAAGGATTGATACCCCACTCAGATCAGTGTCTCTGTGTCTCTTAGTTTTACCTGGCTCTACGGGTTCTAGTTTTTCTTCTCTCGAGATGCTCATCTCTGTCATTTGTTGAGTCACAGGAAGAGATCCTTGAGCATTTCTGCACAACATTTTTAAAGCATTAAAATGGAAACACACATTGAAAAGTAGATTGTTATATTCTGTCAAAGACAGTCAAAACGGACCTAGATGTGTCGGGTGAGGAGGCAGAAGGCGATTCAACCTTGGCTAGACTGGCCTCTAGTCTTTGGATGGCAGAGGCCTCTGAGGTAGGACTAGTTGCTGAGGGTGGAGGTGCAGAAAAAGAAGTTAAAACAACTTGAAATACTGTACATTTATGCTTCCCCAGAGACAACAAAGGCAGTGTGGCAGTGAATGTAAACCAAGGCTTTTTAAACAGTAATCCAGCAAAAAATCCAGTTTCCTAAGATGAATACACACTTAAGCCTAAGCCTTATGATAGACAGTTTTAGAGCTGATGCTGATGGGGGCCAGAGTGTCATCCTGAGTAAAAACTGCACTAAATCTTCTTGTGAAATATGCAGTGAAAAGTGATTCTTATAGTAAGTATGAAATGTAGTATTTAACACAGCTTAAGAGAATCTGGGAATGAACAAGCAACATAACATTTTCCTAAAAACTAGCTTCTTCTATTTTGAACTCCGCAACAAGTTATAGAAAGCAATTGGGTTAAAAACATTGTCACTTTTTATGGGTTCTAACAAGTCATTTTTTGGTTTATCTTCAGCATTTGACTTTAAATATGTCTAAAAATAAAACACATGAAATCATGAAAAACAAAACTGTTTTTTACAGAAAGTGAATCATTGGACTAAGAAAATACTCATTCATTGTTTTAGAACTGCTGACAAACGTATTGTTAAAGGTTAAAGGTCAATTTTTGTGGCATCTGTTCTAACCAACCAGAAAAATGTGGGCTGCTGTTATTGGGCTGTTTTTATCCTGCTATTAGTTTCTGGTTCCTGGAGTGAAAACACATTTATTGTCATAAACACATGGTGCTGAGGACAGTATGGTTTGAACTAAAACTGGGAACAGTTAGAGTTATTCTTTATGCTTGTGCTTTATACGCTGCTGGGACCTTGAACTGCATGCAAACACATTTTTCAGTCCCAAAAAGTTCATTTTTAGACTTGAAAACAGTTTTCAATCATGTGTTTGGATGGCTGAAGTCGTCACATGTGGATTACTGAAAAAACTACGACTATATGTTCTTACCCATTGGGCTGAGTGGGCTCATGCGGTCGCTGCTTTGCTGTCTGGTCAAATGTTCCTTATAACAGACAGAGCACATGCCATTGGTTCGTGGGTTGCCGTAAAAACCACAACCTGTGGCACACAGCATGGGTCCTGGACTCTGGTTTGTCTCCTGGGCCATCGCTGACCAACGTCAGAGAAAAGAAAAGTAGAGTGTAAATAATACATAGACCAATATGCTAAATATCACTAGTAGACTAAATGTAACATTTTCCATTTACTTGTGACGAAATGTGTAATGTGATATTTAACACATCACACACACATAAATATCATAACCTTTCAATAACCTTTCAAAACTAAATCATTGTTGACAAACCCCTAGGTTGAGACACAAACATGGGTCTAAAACTTTACAACAGTAAATGTGATGTCATGGTTCATGAGTGTATTTATGACTCATAACCATTTCTGACAAGAACAGATAAGTTCTTCTGATTCCTCTGTGTATGATGCTGTGACTCAAAGAACAGATACACATCACGTCATAGCTGCCTGTAAACACTTACACAGGAACAAACAAGTATGTTGAGTTTACACAATGTCTTTTGTTGCTTCCACCACAAAAAGGCATTTAAAAACTCCAACAGTCTTTTTTTTTTCATACACCAACGCCCAAAGACAAGTATGCACATGTGTGTGTGTGTGTAACTTGAATTACGCTGCCGTTGCTGGAACACAACAAAGCAGGAAATTGCCCTAAGGCCAAAGGAGGTCATTAAAAACATTGCGTAGAAAGATCAAAGTGAGTAGGGTCAGAATGTTCTGACCCAGAAGTGGAACAAGTAAAGCAGCAGCTTCATGTCTGCCTGATAAACAAACCTTTGACCTGTTCATCTTCAACACAGCAGCTGTTGACTGATCACGTCAGACAAACAAGAACAGAGCTTCATGTTCCAGGAGAAAATATCTGAGAACGTCCTGCTGCTTTGCTCACAAATACACAAACAAGTGGTGTTAAAGGGATAGGCCAGGTCTGTTATGGTGAGGTCGAGGAGGGTACCTTACAACACTCCTGATAAAGTATCTGTCACTTCAAGGCTGAAGAACAAGTTCACTTCCTTATCACATCAAGATGCATCATTCCAGCAGGAAATTGATTTTTGCAACACAGTAGTCCTACTGTCTTCACCTCATACAGAACACGCTTTAGAAATCCTGAGCTGCCCCTTTAAATGTTGAGCAACCTTTCCTCCACTGGAGCAAAGCACCACCCTCCTGCTGCTCTCCTGTAACAGCATCAACAAAAGGTTTCCTTGGAAAAGCCCACAAAGACCTTCTCTGCCTCAGTGTCACATGTTGGACTGCTGACTAGTGAAAAAAAAGCATGAGCAGACAAGAGGTCTGAGCTTCAGGCTGGAACAAACAGCTCCACAGGAAGTTGCTGTTTTAAAATGTAGGAGATTTTTCTGGAAACCATTAGTGTCTCTTAATATACAACAATATCTCTGTGCTAAAGAAAAAAAAACAAGAACAAGAACACAATGCTATCATACCATATTGTCATACACTGCAGATGCTTAATACCTCTTAGTCTCAGTAAATATTTTAAACCTCTTGTTGACCTGTACACTATGACTATGTGTTATACCTTACACAGACGTAAAATTCATACTTAACAAATTCCTACCAAACATTCTAATAATATCTTTAGAGTAAGGTAATATGAGGGGCATGGGTAGTGGTGCCTTAGTGGTTAAGGAAGCAGGCTTGGTTCAGGTTCGAGTCCAAGTTACCACTGAGGTGCTCTGAGCATGGCACTGTCCCCACACACTGCTCCCCTGGTCCTTAAAGCTGCCCACTGTTCACTTTGGTGATGGGTTAAAAGCAGAGGTCACATTTTGTTGTGTGCAGCGCTGTGTCACAACGACAGGTAGTTCACTTTCTTTAAATAAGAGCTGGGGTAAGTCTGGGACTTTTCAATAACAGCTCGGGTATGTTGGGGTTTTTTTTCCAGCCTAGAGCTGTTGAGCAGTTTTCCTTTTTCTTTCCTTTTCAGGGAAAACTTAGAGTAAGAAGCAGTCGCAGTTGTGCCATTTGGTGTGTGAGATCAGCAGCTGAACACACTATGAAAAACAAACTAAGGTGTGACTGCTCTGCAGCAGTAAAATACTCGTGCTGAGGAAAGCTGAACCCTGCTCATGTTTCAGGAAAACGCAAGAGTGACACATGGAGAGAGAGGTTTCATCACATGGCTCTGTAACATTGCCAACATGTTTTTGCCACTTTAGAACATTTGTTAAAAAGCTTTCCTATATTAGCTGCCAGTGATGATAGCAATGACACGTATTAAAAACCATGAACCTCGAAAGCCCCCTTTGGTTGGTAGACTTCTTTACAAACTTTTAAGCCCCTTTTCCATGGGCTAATATATGGACACTTTTTAAGACACGTTGACGACCTCTGGTATCTCTAGTAGGACCTCTCCTGCTTTTTAGAATATCTACACTACACTACATTACAGTTACTTTACTAAGTCAATTTTTATGTTCTGTTGTCTGAAAAAAANTCCCTACACAATAAACCTTATACACAGTAAAGTAAATAAAAGTTTAAAGCCCCTGGTATATAAAATAAAAAGCACCACAACCAAAAGAGTAAGCATGAGCACCATATATATACATTGATATGAGTTACGCATGAAAACAATTCCACAGTCAGAATCTTGAAGATATATCTGAAAGGCTTTTTTAAAAAGACATTAGTCGGGAAGAGACCACAAAACAGAAGCATTTGTAATGTTTGAGTAGAAGGAAACTGGTGCACAATAACAGTCCTATTGAAGACACACTGGTATTTTTGTTGAACTAAAGCCCGAAACGGTGCTGCCTCTCTGCTCTTTGTTTCTTCTTTATTCCTTTGTCTCGGCTGCTTCCTCTTCAGACTCATTTTCTACCTCCTGTCTTCTCTCTCTGGCTGCGTGGCCACTAACTAACGTCACATTTTCTGCTTATGTCTCCCTGAACAAAAACTACATTACATGAGCAGTATTAAACACACAAAAGCGTTTCCATTCCATGAACGAATGAATAAAAGCCAAAAACAGATTAGCTTCGCCTCCTTCCTCCTGTTTTACCTCCTCATTTTCTCTTCTGAGCAGTGCCACTAACAACCACTAACGTACACCAACGAACAGCTTAAAAATCTTCACAACATTCGGTATTTAAGATTTATGTGTAGCAGAGAATCTCAGAGATAATATCTCAACTCTACTCACTGCATGAACGTTCTATTTGTGGATAGGAATGAGTTGAACTGTGGCTCCCATCCCCCAGCTGCAGCAGCAAAAACAAACACACACACACACACACAGTGGAATCACAAAACAACAGCAGCAGCAAAACCAAACCTGTCTATTTTTTTCTGTCCTTTATTCGTCTTTTGTCTACATTTAAACACAGTCATTTCATGATATCCGTGCTTAGAGTGACGAGAAAATGGAGGATACATTGATCGCTATTTGCTTGGACAGTTTCACTGAGATCAAAATCTGGCTTTGACTTTGTGGAGGAACAAATAACACAACCAAATGACGACTAACTAAGACACAAATGAAACAAAAACAAGAGTCCAGACACCGACAGAAAATACCAGAAACAGAAGAACGAAGAGAAAAACACCTCAAACCAACAGCTAAAGACAGTATAAGTGTGAACTGCTCTTTTTCCCAAAAAACACATTTGATCTGTGGTGTCTAACAATATCTCCATGGTGTCGTTACTCTAACATAAAAAATGCTCACAACAAAACTATTTTAATAACCTTTAAGGAAATAATGAAGTATAAAAAGTAAATATATTATCCAAAAACAACAACAAATATGTATATGTAAAAAATCTGTAAAAACAACTCGAATGCTTTACGGCAGCAACGTTTAAAATATTAAAATCAATACAAATATCAACTTTTTTGTTCCATCTGACTTGCAATACCAAATCGTTTACTGCAACAAAAACATTGAGGTTACTGCTGCTGTGTTTTTACTACAAATGCAGCCACAATTTGAAGAAGTTTAAGTAAAAACAAGCGATAAGAGACGTGTTTATCTCTCTCGCTCTCTCTCTCACACTCACACACACACACACACGCACGCACACTCACACGCACACGCACACAGACAGAGGCTGACCTCATAAGGCTCAATTTAAAGGTGACCTGAGTCTGAAAAACAGCATTTTTTAAACCATTTTTACACAAAAACATAAAAATTTCAAACCTGATCAACGTCTTCGAGAAAAAGGAAAAACAAATCATTCAGAACATTTGAAAAACAATCAAGAGAATGTGGTCCAAAATAATCCAGAATAATCCAGATCGTCACCTGATGGGAATTGTGAAGCGTCCTGACGAGACCACGATAAAGATACCGAGGGATGTTGTGGTGATAACGAAGATGTGGTGGAAAAGCAGACGTTAGGCCAGTAAGGAGAACTAACGAAGACAACGATGTTGTTTTTCAAAAGAAAACGTTTGTTCTATGTTCTGCCTCAGTTTTGTGTCAGAAGGGCACGACTCTGTGCCTATAACGCTCTCTCTTCCTGTGTAACTGTAGGTCTCTCGATCGCTGTCTCGCTCTCTCTCGCTGTAGTTCTTTCTACCGCTCTCTCCTTCTTTAGACAGAGGAGTGGCGGATGTGATGATGACGTTGATATCGTCACGGTTCAAACAACGTGTCTTTGCCTGGCTCCGCCCCGCAGTTTTTTTCTGTCGCTAGAAGTCTGTAGAGGCGGTGGGAGGTGCGCGTCCTCATGGGCGCAAACCACTATTGCGTCACCATGACACATCTATTCGTCATTCTCCCACAGGAAGAGGAAGCTTGTGGTCAATTTCCTTTGTATAATGATGATAAAATGCCTTTAAGAGTGGCCTTTAAAATTACAAAAAGAATATTTATCATAACCAGTTATACTGCTTCAACTATTAATAAGAATAATATGTAAATTATTATTATGTGTGTGTTTCAGGCTAATACCTTAAAGGCATAGCCACAAACCCAAGACTACATAAAATACAACAAGGATAAATACAATTTCCTTTTGTACTGTATATATAACTTTACTTAATATTGTTATATTCTGTCTATCTTTTGAATGTAAACAGATTCATCTTATTTATCTATTTTATTATTCATTCATTCATTAATACGTGGTTGTAGGAGCTGGAGCAAATCTTAGTTGTGTTAGGGCGAGGGCAAGGTAAACCCAATGTCCAATCAATGGCAGGGCCACATGCAGAGACAAAGAACCTTTCACATTCACATTCATATCTATGGTCAATTTACACAGTCTGATCAACATAATCCCTAATCTCCATGTTTTCTTAGACTTGTGAAAGGAAACTGGAGTAACCTGAGAAAACACACACAAAAACACAAACAAAAAAGGAAAAAATATGCAATCTCAATAGAGAAAGACCAGGGATGTAACCAGGGACCTCCCTGTAGTTAAAACAAATTATATAATTTATTCTATTCATATTTCTTTCTTTTCTCTCTTACCCTCTGCATTCTTGTTTAAATATTTGTAGTAGGGGACAAGAAATGCTTAAAAAAGGCTGAGGTATTGTTAAAACAACCTAATAAAATGTCTTTGAAAAATCCACATTTTAGCCAGAAATGGCATAAATAAAGCCGGAAGTAGCAACAAAAAGAGCTGTTGGTAAATTGTGAGTGTTTTGGGGCCAACACATTTCATGTGTCACAAACACAAACAAACACACAGGGGTGTTTACACTGAGGACACAAACACGTTCAACAAGTTAATAATAAAGCTTCTGGCAGCAGCATGCAGATAAAGAGCGGTGTGTGATTTCAGACAAAATGGTTGTTGTGAAACATGTTCAGGTGATGGAAATTTAAAACAAACATCGTATTACTTGTTGCTGAAGACTGTGCGATTACAGAGTGGTTCTGTGAATATCAGGCTTCACAGTTGTACTCAATAACCTAAAAATGTTTTCACATGGTCTAGTCTTTGATTGACAAGTCCAGGCATATTCCTGCTCACAAAACACACACACTTCCTCAGGCACTACAGTCATGCTCAGCTGAAAACAAACACTAAGGGTGGAGCAATGTGGTGTGTATGTGTGTTTCAAATAATATGTTCTCATCTTCAAGTTCGTAGAAAAGCATGTTTTTATGATCTGAGTATAAGCCAAATAGGACCAGAAGTAGATGATGTATAGCTGTAAAAAGTTTTTTTCTAACAACAACTATTGGTATAAGTAAAAAGCATTTAAGCAAAGCAAAACATAAGTCCAAACCAACAATTCACAGGAACCACGAGGTTGTTGTCAATTAGTTTAGTAATTATTTTTCAATCAGAAACAGTGGCAGAGTAAGTTCATTAACTGGAAACAAGAAGATAGCATATATAGACAGATAGATAGATAGATAGATAGATAGATAGATAGATAGATAGATATATAGATAGATAGATAGATAGATAGATAGATAGATAGATAGATAGATAGATAGATAGATAGATAGATAGATAGATAGATAGATAGATAGATACAGACACACACACACACACACACACCATCACACACACACACACATTGGGGGTTTCCACAGCCGTTGGGGGGGTGCACGTGAACAGGTGTAAAGAACAACATTGATGTGTGCTGCATAAGTGAGCGCCTGGGGGTGTAGGGTGGTGGTGGTTGTATTTAATCCAGAAAAGCTTGCAGTTACTAGGCAGACCTCCTCCCTCCTTCTCAAATGGACGGGGGGGAGGGGTTGGGGTAAGGGAGGGCACACGGACTCCTTGTGTGAGTGATAACTTTAAACCACCCCCACTGACTGTGTGTGCCTGTGTTAAACTACGAGTCACCAAACAGGGGCCAGGGTGTCATGTGTTAGGGGCGGGCTTATGATGCTGCAGTGAAGAGATCAGTCGAGAAGGGGCGTGGTCTGGGGCTGCTGACACATTAGCACGTGGCTGGACTGGTGTGCACGAGAAAAGCAGTAACGCAGGGAATACAGGACATCTGCTGAACACATGCAGAAGTGTACACACGTGCACTCACATGCAGGGGATCGGAACGAGCACAAATGTGTCCCCACACTCACTGAGCACTTACTGAGTTTAGAAAGTACAAAAGAAATCTGTTTTAAAACAGAACCTTGACCAGGTGAATCATTGACCAATGAATTAATTGTAAATGTTCCTCCTCCATAAAAGGATTTTTTTTACAACCAACCTAGTTTTGACAAGAATTTGGATTCAGAACCTTTAACCATCAGGAAACTTAAATATAATAGATATTGTTGATTCCACTTACAGTTTCAGAACTGAGCCGAACAGAACAGTTCTGCAACTGAGCAGAACAGATATCCAGTGCACATGTGAACACAACAGTTCATTATCATCATAACAGAATTACCACATTTTATTTCCCAAGTTATTTTATACACACTATTTGTAAAGAAATGTACCCTATTTGACTTGACATGCAGAAAACTCATCCTATGATTCAATCTATTTAAATTTTGCTCTGAAAAGATCCCTGTGAATTCACTTAGTTATTTTCAATATGGATTTTTCAGACTCCCATCCAGACAAAACTACAAGAAAATGGAATTTGTGATTAAGCACTGTTTTTCCTGACCTTGTAAGGAACCACAAAATGTACAGATTAAGATTAGATTAAACTGAAGACATTTTAACCACAGAATCTGTATACTGTGGCTGGCTGGTCGGTTGATTCCTCTGGCAAAAAAGAAACATGTTTTCAGTTGGACTCACACCTGAAGAACCCGAACTCTGTCTCTCTGAAGATAACACCCAGGTATTTCTGTCTTTCTCTTGTCCTCAGGGCTAAAACGTTCTTCTGCTTCACCTTCAGGGACATGTGAGGAGATGTTCAGAGTTCAAAGCTGATGTTTACACTCTGAGAAAAAGAGGAACAGCCTGTCATGTGCTATATGCAAAACGCAAATTTAGGTAAAAAAGGTTTGCATCAAAGAGAGTAGGATATAAATGGAAATTAGTTGGCAGTCGGTGCTTTATCTTCTAAGGAAAAAAAGTTGATGATTTTAAATGTAAGGGAGTTAGAAAACCCAACAAGAGGGCAACCAAAAAATAATAATAATAAATCCTTCTCTTTTTTTGGTTACTAGTATCATTTGTTTCCTGAGAACAAGACACAGACAACTCAGCTGCCATGAGGTCACAGGTCTATGTGCAGACTGCTGCTGCGGCTAACTTTAGCAATTAGTAACGGATCTGTGTCTCGATTACTCACATTTACTACACACACACATCAACAACGTATTCTGGTACACATGTACACACATTTTCTGTGCTGACACGGGCAAAACGAGATCAGATGTTGCTGTTACAGTATCTGGTCATACTCAGTCACAGTTTAGAACAACACTGCCCTCTGCTGGTTAACATTGTTCATCCGGCAACGCAGAATGATGTTCCTAAAAATAATCGTCGACAATGTTTACTTTCGTTTTATTTAATTTGTGTTCTTGTTCTTACAGAAATAGAAACATTTTTTGGAAAAACATTTTTTTATAAATGGAAGCAGAATTCTACGATAAGTTAAATTGTTTTTCTAATCACAATATAATTTCCAATAGAAAATTAAAAAAGAGAAATACACAGATTGTAGCATTAGTATCCACCATAACAGTTCTATCCACTTTCTGTGACCCCATTAAAATGAAACATTTTAAGAGAATTTCACAGGAAATCGGTCATTTTCCAGCTTGAAATAATAAAACAAAGTTCTGGACATTTTTGTTCTTTTACTACTATACTCCATCACCGTCCCCAAAAGCACTGCGGTAGAAAATGGATAGATGAATGGAAGAGTGATTGTTGTGTTTAGCATGAATAGCTAAGTAAACGGTGATGACATAATAAACAACAAAGGAGTCATGACCCTCTCCCACTCTAACACACACAAACACACAGTCATAACTCTTGTGAATAATTGATTATCAGTGAAATTGCTGGGCTCTAAGGTTTCCCGCCTCATTGTCTGTGTTTCAGGTCGATGGCTGCAGAACAAAAAGTTCAACTTTTCATGCCACCAGTTACTCATCTTTATCTCTCTCTCTTTCTCCCTCTCTCTCTGTCTCTCTCTGTCTCTCTCCCTGTCTCTCTCTCTATCTCTCTCGCACACACACACAAACTATACATATCTTTGAGCAGCTTACTTTGCTCACCCCTACTGCCTCTTGTCTGGGTGCTTGCAGATACTATCACAAACTAAAAGCTAAGTCATTTCACTGTTGTTCGTTAACATTATTAAAAATATAGGAATACAGAAAAATAAACAAAATAATTTACAAACTGAAGAAGGTGAAGCTTTAATTTAGAGTTAGGGTATAGATGTAATTAGAAAATGGCTGTATCTGTGAGAAAATACTGAACCACAGGCTGTCACTATGTCCCTCACAAACTCTGCATGCAAGGAAATGCTCTGGTACATTTTCAAACAAAGTCAATAAAGAGTTGACCTACTTCTTAAGCCATCTGTTATAGGTAGAAGCACCTAACTAACTTAACTTAACACAATCAGCATCTAGATCCCACAGTGAAAGACAGCAAACCAAATATTGCTCCGTAGAAGCTAATGGAAGCTGAGCCTCCACAGAGTTTAATACATGAAGGTATAAAGATCGGACTGTTGGAGATAAACAGCTGATTGTGAATGAACTTGTGAAGTTAAATGCATATTAGCCCTATTATTATTATTATTATTATTATTATTATTATTATTATTATTATTATTATTATTATTATTATTATTATTATTATATTTTTTTATGAACCCCTCAGTCTTTTTTTCCATGACATATATGAACATTTGAACGACGCTTTTCTATTTGTTGTGCCTCATGAAGACCATTTGTACTTCATGGAGACTGGATCTCACACACACCTACACACCAACAGGCACACACACAGACACACAGAGGCGCTGGCTCTTATCATTTGTCGTCGGATGTTGCAGGAGAAACAGAAGCAGAGCTCAGAAGAAGAAAACGAAGAAGAAAATGCCTCGAGACTCACTCATTCCCTTCGACAACATCAGTAAGGCGTTAAATATTTATTTCACGTACTCTTTTCTTTATTAGGATGAAAAAGTCATATATTTTTGGCAACAATCCTCACGAATGAAGAAGGCAGTGATACAGTGCTGACTGTGCTAAAATGATGCTCAATAGACAATGCACTAAAGTATAAAGAGATTGATCAATACGTCTAAAAATAGTTGAAATGAATAGAATGCATTCAAAATGTTATAATAACTAAATTTATAACACAGGTTCTCAGGGATTTAAGAGAGATGTGTAGGTTATTATACGATAATCGCTTGATATTGTAATTGTGTCATATTAACAGGCACAAATTAATTGCAAATTTAATTAGCTGAAAAGCATAAATAACTTTTATACAACTTTAACTTTTTAAAACATATGTTTAAATGTGCTAAATCAATCAACTCCTACAACAAAGTCCCATGGGACAATCAGTGATTTTTCCTCACAAGGACATAAAAGATGCAGCACCGCTGCCTCCTGTGCTCAGTTTGACACCTCTTGTGTCTCCTTGAACCAAAGTTCATGAGTTATTATATGAATACAACAGAAATCTAAAAAACAAACAAAAACAAAGATCCATCAAATCATTGCCATTTTGTACAAAATTCATGTATGTTGTAGCAATCTGCTAAAATGATTAGCAAATGATCACTGGCAAAAATTTGTTACGGGGTCACAGAGCTTGACCTCTCATGGCCCCTATTACCCCGTCTCCCCTCACTGGACCTTTGTCTGAGTCTTTTATGTCCCCCTGCTGCACATGTCCATAATGACCTGTGTTCTGTCCACTCCGGTTACACCAGAAGACACACATCAGTGGACAGACCACAATAGATCTCTTCAGTTTTCAGTCTGTCAGTTGTTCTTAATGTCCACCTCTTCATCACATTTTTAAAGTAAACAATAGTACCAGGTACACAGTGAAGCTGCCTGACGTCTAATTGGTGGGTTTAAAGCAGGGTGACACCTTCTGGTACACTTCCACCAACTGACACGGAGCAACGAGTAGAAAAATATTAATTTAATTTAAAGTTAAACAGAAAATGTTCTTCCTCTGTCTTTTCCTTATTTGCTGAACCAGTGAAATTATAACATAATTGATATGACATACTATCATTTGACAAAACATCACAAACTTATTATAATTATACAAAAATATTTGTGCTTTTTTTTAACTTTCAAAATTCAGTGGGCCAGATAGAACCCCCTAGAGGGTAGTTTTTGGCCACCGGGCCCTATGTTTGAGCTGTTCTAATGTGTAAACTATGATTCTACTTAGACTAAGTAATTTGAATAAAACTAAGCACCCTTATATATTTTCTGCAGGTAACGAAGATGAGTTGACCTCACCTCATAGGGGACGTGAAAGAAGTCAAAGGGGGGAAAAAAGGGATGGAGTTTATGAAAAAAAGAAAAAGAAGAAGGTAACTAGTAGGAGGAGAGAAAGATCAGGAGTTGATGAAGGAGGAGTGCAGTTGGAACATGAGAGAAGGGACAAAGAAAAGAGGAAAAGAAAAAGGAACACTGTACAAGCTAGAGGTGAAGGAGAAGAGAATCACAAAGAAAGAGAAGACGAAAGGAAAAGTAGAAAGACTGCAAAACTAGGAAAGAGTCTCAGGAATGAAAATAGTCAAAAAATCCAGAAAGAAGGGGAAGAGGAGGGGGAGGAGAATCAGGAGGAAGAAACTGAGAAGAAACCCAAGAGGAAAAAGAAACATGGACATTCCAAAAAGGAAGAAGCAGAGGATGAAGGGAAATATGAACTGAAGGAGGAAACACAGGAGGTGGAAAAGAAAAACACCAAGACAGTAGCTGAGACTGGGTTTGTATAATTAGTGTCTTGTGAACTTAATAAACAGTAACAGGAAATAGATGTATCTAAAGGTGTTGCTAAATGAATCTAAGAACATGAAATGGCAAGGTCCTTAAACCTAACTTCTCCAAAATATCAGTTTCATTTGGCAAGAGAATGAATAGTTTTTATGGTCGTACTGCAAAGATACTGTAAACATTCTTCTGTTTTATATCTCAGCTTAGAGCAGGAGTCCAGTGAGGACACTGAAGAAGTCCATGAGGAGGACAAGGTGGACCAGGAGGATCATGAGAACCAGGTGAGGCCATGCTCTCTTTCTCCAGAGGAACTGGAGAAGTTGAAGGAGGCAGTGGAAGAGAGGAAGAAGCTGATCCAGAGTCTGAGAGGGAAACCCTGGTCTATGAAGAAAAAGCTTCTGACTTTACGGTACTTCATGGTAACAATTACCAACTGGTCTAGATTTGTGCAAATAGAATAGAGAATCAAGTCTCAGCTCAGCGCTTTGTCTGTTTTCTGGCAGGGAGTCTCAGGAGTTTGTGGAAAAGTATGAAGGAGCTCTGGGGAAAGCAAAAGGCAGGAAGCTCTATGCCTACAAAGTCATTATGACCAAGGCAAGAACCTCATTTTTTTAAAATAACACTTTGGTCAGTAGACAACACAGCTTCTCCGACAACATAACCTATAACCTCTTTTTTTCTAGAAATGGATGAAGTTCCAACGAGACTTTGAAAACTTCAAAACTGCTTGTATTCCATGGGAAATGAAAATAAAGGAAATTGAAAGTAGGTTTAATTTTATCAAACCAATCAATGTTTGGCCACAAGGGCATTCCCCATATTAGGCATCCCCCAGGTTAGTGATATTTCAGCCTTTATTTTATTTTATTTTGGCCAGAGTTAAAAATGCTAAGATTCTCTTTAGGAGTGACAAGAATGGACAGGATCAGGAATGAGGTCATTAGAGGGACAACACAGACAGGAAGGTTTGGAGGAATAACTAGAGAAGCCAGATTGAGATGGTTTGGACATGTGCAGAGGAGGGACAGTGGATACATTGGTAGAAGAATGTTAGAGATGGAGCTACCAGGTAGGAGACAAAGAGGAAGGCCAAAGAGGAGATATATGGATGCAGTGAGGGAGGACATGCAGAGAGTTGGAGTCAGAGTAGAAGATGCAGAGAACAGGGAGAGATGGAAATCAATGATTTGCTGTGATAACCCCTGAAAGAGGGACAAAGTTGAAAGAAAAAAGAAGAATATGATGAAGAAGTGATATTCTGGCCTTTCTATTGTTGTCCTCACAGGTCACTTTGGCTCTTCTGTGGCCTCGTACTTCATCTTCCTGAGGTGGATGTATGGTATCAACATGATTCTCTTTGGTCTGACCTTTGGTCTGGTCATGGTACCAGAGGTACAGGTTCTCACATTCTTTAATTATACAGTAACATGGTTGAATGTGTGTCAACAGTTAATCTTTAGGGTGACTTCATCACATTTTATTTTATACAGATTTAGATCTGAAGATCGTGTTCAGAAAAATAACATTTTAAATTGTGAGTTATCCAAAATACCCAATTTCATTGTACTGCAACTCTTAGATTAATTAGTTAGTTGGCAACCCCTGAAAAAGGGAAAAGCCGAAAGGAAAAAAAGAAGAATACTAGACGTATTGAATCAGTTAAACTTGTAACAGTGTTTAAGTGGGTTCAGTTACCATGG